TGGGCCGCCGCCGCTGCTCTGGCGGGTGTAGCGCTCCTGCTTGTGGCACTGGTCCTTCTCCTGGCGGGAGCACATCGTTGTATTTTGGGGTGACCTGCGGGGAGAGAAGAGCTGTCAGGGGCTGCTGCATGTCCCACTGCCCCGATTGCCCCAGCGCCCCAATCCTGGGGCCCTTGTGCCTGCCCCGTTTGCAATCCCGCCCCCAGCACTGCTGTGCAGGATCCAGGGAAACCCCCAGGTCTGAAGCAGTGCTCTGCGTCCACCGACAGAGGATTTCATCAGCTGGGTGTAGCAGCATGGCATGGCCCAGCCACGAGACAGGTCCTTGCCTCCCTCCATGCATCCCGCCGCCCTGCGAGCATTCCCGCACCCCAGCAGCGGGGTTTGCATTAAACCCGTGCTCCACGTCCATTGCTGGCAAATGTGTCCCAGAAGAAGGAAAATCCATCCGTGCTGCCAGACTTACCCGAGCTTGAGAGGAAAGCAAGCGGAGGGAATGAAGGTCCCTGGGACAGGAGCAGTTTTATAGAGATCTCAGATCCCTTTCCCCGGAAATGAGACAGCTCTCTGTCATAGTGATCTATTAATTTAATACCCAATCCCAATCAAACCGCCCTCTGTTTACATCGCTTGCTTGACTCATCCGTGATGGGTATCATTCCTTTTTTATCTGTTTCCTGTGCCACATAAATATCTAATTGCTAGCCTCACCTGCCCTTAATAGGAAACCCGTGGATGCCTGGGTTTCCAAAGGCTCGTCTGTTTGGGGTTTGTTTTGTTAAATTAAATCCAGGCATAATTATAGCCCCATTCCATGAGGCTCTGCTCTCAGAGTCTAATCCCTGCTATTGAGCCAGCACCAGATAAAACCAGAAATAATCCCAGCAAGAAGGAGTGGAAAGTTACTCTCTCTTCTCCCTTAGATGCTCAGTCTGAAAGAGCCGCCATGGCCATGGGGACAGCCAGTGGAGCGAGGACAAAGTCCTCCTGGGCTTCCTCTAGAGAAGGGTCTCAGGTCTTCAGCAGGGGTTTTCTAGCTCCCTACCTTGACCTAAAGGGTGTGAATTCCCCCCAGAAGACACCTGAGCAGCCAGAAGACGGTCTTGGAGACCGCTGAAAGCCTTGCAAGTCCTGCTATGTTCACATACATCTAAGCAAGGCCCCTGAGCGCTTCGTTGACAAAGACTAGCTACTTCCATCCTCTTAATGACAAACATCAGGAAATGAAGACTGCAGAATTAAAAGACCCATCTGGTGCTGCCTGCTTCATCGGTCCGTCTTCTGAAGCAAAGCCGGAGCTCCGGAGATGGCCCTTCTGCACAGCCCTGTCCTGGTTGAAAAGCTGCCCAGCACTTCATCACCCCGCAAAGTACATTGACCTCTAAAGGCCACAGCTGCTTATTTACAGGATAAAGGCAAGAAAAAGTCTGAGACATAGAAGATAATGTTGGGAGCCACGCAAACAGACATGAAGATCCACCTTGTTGCCAAAGAGAAATGCTTTGGCAGCTCTCCGAGGGAGGAGGGGATAGCACCGGGGCTTGGACTGTTTGAGCTGAAAGCCAATGTCTTTCCCAAGACACACGTCAACTAGTGCTGTTTCGTTATGCTCAGCACCACTAGTGGCACTGAAAATTAGCTTCTTCCTGCTTCTCCTGGAAGCTGTTGGGTGGCTCCTGTCTGGCTTCAGGCAAACACCCATTGGCACAGGGTTGAGCTGGCCCCGGGGTCCCTGTGTCCTGCACGTGGCCCAGCTTGAGTGGAGGGGGATGTGGTGACAACGGGATGAAACCTCTCCCAGGGCTGCAGGTGTCCTCAGGGCATAAGCGGCTCATGCTGCTCACATCTGAAATTTTGGATACTTGAACTGTCCATCACGAGCTTCCCACCTGGTGGCAATGGCTGTCTGTCTTACCCGAGGGGTCAGTGATGGGGAGGATCACAAAGCTCTCCTCCAGCCTCGCAGACCCGTAGCTCACCCAGCACGAAATGCAGCCGGCATTTACCGCGCTTGCTGCCGCTGTTGTCATAAAATTTCATACAGAAACCGGTGGCTGCAACTGTAATTAGCAGAGGAACTGCACAGACACCCACTTAGAGCTGTGTGCGCTGCAGGCAAAATCCACGTGGCTGTTGGAGCAAGTGCGTGCATGCACAGAAGGGGCTGAGCGCAATGTCCACGGGGCTTCTTGCTATTGCTATGTGCATCCCTCCTACCACCCAAAATAATAACCGGTGACTAAGGTCTCAAGGACAAATGCATTTCTGTGCATGAGTCTTGTGCAATCTGTTTTTGTCTTTTCTGGAGGATATTAGTAGCAGTCGTGTCTTGCCCAGGACAGGGGTGATGCTCAGCACAGGAGAGTTTAACGCTGATTTTCTTTTCAGGTGATGATCTCATTCATTGAATGAGAAAGGACATATGAGTATTTTCAGTGTCACCAACCATGTACCAAGTTTCATAACAGCTGGTGTTTTTCTTGCAGTCCCCAGCCTTTCAGAATTGTTAGTTCTAGCTTTAATTCTAGCTTTTTTAATTCTAGCTAGAATTGTTAATTCTAGCTTTCAGTTAAAAGCAGAAACCACATCATAACAGAAGCAGGGAAGCCTCTATCCTTTTTTATTGTGGTTACAGGAAAAAAAAAATCTTTAAACAGTCAAAAACCTAAGAGGCAAAGGAAAAGAACCTCAAAACATATGACTACTAATCACTTCTAGGGTTTTCTTGGGATGAGTGGGGTTGGCAGCAGGGCATGGGTGCACTGCCCGGCTCCCCTCGCTCAGCCTTTGCGCAGGGCTGTAACACACCAGGGCCAGGCTGCTCCCAGCTGCAAAACCCCTTCCCTGGTTGCCTCCCTGCCTTTCCAGCAGCACCTCTGCCAGGTCCTGGCTGTGCAGGGAGATGGATTTGGCTTCTCTCTCTGCCAGCTCTGCCCTTGACTCTTTACATCCCTTAGTCCAGCTCACGGAGGCAGATATCTGCTGAGTTCATCTGCCGCCGGCACATGCATGACAAGCTTCAGAAAACACAAGAAGTAAAGTCTTCACTGAATTCAATTGCACTGTTTTACGCAGCAATATCATTCTCCCTAAAATGCAACACTAAATGGTCTCCTTGTGCACATGTGCTGAAGGGCTGGCTGCTTTCTCAAGGGTGACTTCCCCTGGTTAAGATATATGACCTGCTAGTAACTGTATAGACCCTATATTCCTCTACACCGAGCTGCACCCCTATAGTGTGCACGGAAAATAAGGATGAGGAGTTTAAGGAAACGCCAACACAAGAGAGGTCTCGGGAACTTAATGCTTTATTGTCTCACGGGCACCTCACGGGGCCAAAGCACAGCCCAGTGCATCAGGCAGAGGCAGCAGGGAAGCACAAGTGATGCCCCTTCCCCAGGGAGCGATGGTCCCGGAGGGCAGAGGAGAGGGTTTGCAGCCGGGCAGCTCCAGGCTTGCAAAGCTTTGGGGAGGCCGGAGGGAGCTGGTCCATGCGTGGCCTTTGCTGCCGGAGCCGGGGCGTGCAGGACACGCCATCACTTCAGCTTCTGTGAGGGCAGCTGGTGGACCTGCTGCTGCTGCTGCTGCTGCTGCTGGCACTGGACCTGTGGCTTCCCGTGGCAGCCACCACCGCCAGAGCTGTGGCAGCCACCAC